TGGAACACGGAGCTTACTGTCTGCCGTGTGCGCTAAACGTGCTCAGCAGCGTCGTTAATACAGCCACGCGGGAGCTTCCCGTCCGTCATCCGCTCCAACAGGTAGCGATTGATGCCTTCTTGGTCCAGCGGTATAGGGTCAGGACCGAAGCTCATGCTTGCGCTTGGATGTTACTATTGGTGGGGAATTAGCGAACCGCGGACCGTGAGATAGTTTCCCAATAAAAAATAATTTTAACCAATCGCATTTATGTAACATTATGGTGTTTACCACACTAAGTTTGATTGTTAAATGTCTTGTGGGAAGAAGGTAGTACCATGTTGTGCTGCAGAACAACCTTGCGAGGAATCGGCGTCTGTGTCGGAATGATAGCCGCATTAAGCGTACTGAAAGCATCCACGATGCGCCACTTGCCATTCGGCTTTCTGACACAGAAAGTGGGTGTCGAGTGGGGAGACTTTTTCTCCCGCACCATCCCCGCCTCGTGCTTTGCACTGAAGAATGCGTCAATGACGTCACACTGTCCTCTTGACAAAGGTCATTGCCTCGTCACGCAGTATTTGGCTCCAGAAACCATGTCAATCTCATGACAAACGCTTGAATCCGGAGGTAGACCCGTCGGTGAACCCTTCGAGATAACGTCTCCGTACTCCTTCACCACAGGGTAGAAGGGATCCGAAGGATCTTTCAGAATTCGCCGATCTGCTTCTCGCGCTCAGCGCCTTCTTGGTGTCCTCCAGGACCGCATCCTTCACGACGAACGAGGAGTTCAACTCCTCCTTAGGTCTTAGCAAGACCACTTCGTCTAAATCACCCGCCTTCAAGGCTTCGTCGAATTCAAAAACGGACATCTCGTTCAGCTTCAGCAGAGCATTCACAAGGGGAAGAGCGCTCAGGCTGATGTTGCCTTCGACCTCTCCAGTCATTCCGTTCACGAGTGTGTACAACTGCTCGCAGCATTCATGTGGAGACGCTCCGCTCAACACGTGGGACACATCGTCCAACGTCGAAGACGTCTTAGACGTCTTTGACGTCTGACGTCTTCTTCTTCTTTCCCTCCGTGACCGAGCCCGGCCGGAAGAGGGTGGCGTGGTGCCATATCCCTCACCACCGCCGGGTGCAGCAGCACCATCAATCCTCGAAGAGGATTCAGTGTCTCGCGAGACACTCGCCTTAGAGTCATGCGGTCCATGACGCGCACTCAGTGAGCTAGGTGTCACTTCACCTGCATCTTCTGGGCCGTACCCACGATTCCTCGACGCGCAGTCGACCGCAACGCTCGGGCCACGCAGCGGTAGGACATCGACCAGATCCATACCATTCAGTAAATTACTCCGCGCTCGCCCTCACCAGGACGCAGCAGTGAGTCATCGACCAGGCCTGCACCGCTCTGCGGATAACGTGCCATAGCACGACCGCTCTCAAGATGAGCAACATCCTCGTTGTCCACCAATTTCGAAATGCCAATGTTCAGCACTCCGGCCGCTTCGGCCTCGAGCTCGCGCCAAAAACGCTTCTGCCTCCTAGCAGATGTGGCTTCATGACTCACCAAAGCTCCACTAGGTGCGGGGTGCGTGGCACCCAATGTTTTCGACTTCCGGTCGATCCATGGCTCATGACGCTCTAGCCATGTCGTGCCAAGGATGGTTCGCTCCTCGAATCCACGTCTAAGACCAAACAGCATTCCACGCCACCGAAGTCCGCAAACTTCACCAAGATCTACTGAGCCCTTCGACACAGTCACAAGTGTCCCCGTCGCGAGACGGAAACATTCAGTGCCCCAGCAAACAGCACCCCTTCCAGGGTGGAGTGACTCGTGTAGTTACCCGAGGCTTCCGAGTTAATCAACGGGCTCGCGAAGCCTTTCCCGTCCGCTAGGACGACCAGCAAACCTGGCTTGCACACTGTCTTTTCGCAAGAGGGTCCAGCTCTCGTCGGTGCTAGATCCCGTTGCCCTCTACCTCCTCGAGGCACAACAGAACTGAGTTTATCCCCAGTAGGCTGCCCCGCGCCTACTGGTAGTTGCCGTTTCTCGGCGATGACCTGGAAAGTTGGCTCGCCGGGGCCTCGGGCTTATTGCGCAAATCCGCTACAAGCCCGCAAATGCTTGGTGCTTCTGCACACAAAGCATCGTCGGATGCCGGCGCGCTGTTCCACTGGGAGAAGCTCCGCTTCTTCATCTTCAGCATATCTGAGGTCAGTCGGCTCCGGACTGCTCCGGGAGCCTGCATTACCAGTATACCAGCCCGGTTAGGCTGACTTAACGTTGTGTTCGGCATTCAATGCCACGTCCACCGCCTCTTCAAAAGTGGTAGGGTATACAAGGAACGCTTCTGTTCGGGCTGCGCCTACGTGGAGCCCTTCCATCAAGACGGTTACGGTGACCAACTCAGGTAGAGAGTTCGTCGCCTTTCCGGCGATCAGAGTTCTCAACTCTTGGACATAGTCCAGCAACGCCTTCTTGCCCTGACGGGGGCAAGGATCTTCGACCGAACACGGTATGTCTGGTTAGGCGGAGCAAACACGCGCGACAACTGCTGCTTTAACAGCGTCCAAGTGGGGAACGCAACGTCCACAGACATACCGCACGCTAGTGCGCACTCGCAAGCGCGACCTCCAAGGTTTGCAATTGCAAATGCCACGCATTGCTGCTCCGCCTGGAGCAAGGCCGATTCCATGGCCATATCAACCTTACGGGACAAGGCGATTATCTCCATCCTTCCGTCCGAAGCTCTTCGCGCTCAGTAGGAGCGGCTTGGGACTCGCTGATCCGTCACGCGTGACCGATGTTGCCGCCGTTACGGCGCTCAGCTTTTCTTGAACTTGCTCCAAGAGCGCGCTCTCATATAGCGAGATCGACCCAGCCGAGCGGCCACTGCTTCTGGACCTTGCGGCGCAAGTTGAGCCACGCCCTCCGGGCCAAGCAAGGACATAAGCTAGTTAAGCGCGTCCTGCTACCCGGGGACAATACGTGACCACCCGGTGTTCCATCCTCGCAGAGGATACCGTCAACCGACTCAAGAGCGGGATTGACTACAGGTGCTACCAAGTGCAGAGGGGCTGCCGTTGCTTCAGCGTCAGAGGAAGACGTTCGACTTAAAGAGTCCTGGATACAAAGTTCCTTATCTCAAGGAGCTTTAGCATAGCCCTTCGTGATTTTAAACCAATCACGACCTTGTCAACTCGCGGGGCTGACACGCCGACAGCACATCTACTGTTTGAAGCTAGTGTCCCTTGTATATCTGATGCGTCAGTCCTCGGGATCACCGTCACAGTCACTGTCTGTGACTTGAAGTTCTTCCATACTTGGTCGATTAACGCCCAGAGTTGATACTTTCATTGACGTAGGAACGTGTCTCAAATCTGATTTCCGATTTGAGACAGACGCAACGACTGAGATAGTCGTTGCGACTTGGGAATGGGCCCGGAGGCTGCGACGTAAGGTGCTGCCTCAACGGTGGGATCGGATGCACCTCGCGGTGCATGCGCGACACTAACAGAACCATCGTTCTCTGTCACGTTGTGTACAAGTGTACACTTCTCCCAGCTGATCACTAGATCATGCTGTTCAAGCCACGTCGTGCCCAATACCAAGTCGAACTTATCGTCCAGATCCAGGACGATAGTATCTTTCACAAACACCCGGTGTTTGTACGAGAAGCGGACGCGTATTACGTACTTCTTCGTTCTTACGGTGGCACCTGTTGCCAACCGCACCTCCAAAACACTTCGAGGTGTTTTAACTTCCTCAACGTTTAGCTTCGGGAGACTTTCCAGTCGAACAAAGTCATTCGACGCACCTGAGTCGACCAAAGCCCGAAGAGAGGCTGCTCTCTCCGACGTCACCTTTAGGATGACAAGATTTGGCTTGCCATCCTGCTTCTTGCAGCAAGAGCCCCTCTTGCTGGGGCTGCAGCCCTCAGTGTCGCGTGTCTGTTGTAGCTACGCGCGACTGCAATACTAGTAGGACGCCCCGCGCCTACTGGTTCTGCTTGTTTTTTATTGTACGCAGCGATGATGCCCAAAATCGCCACGTTGGCACCTGGCCGAGTGAACAGGTGCTGTGCACTAACGCGCAAAGTGTTCAGTGCACCCACATCGGAAACACCTCACTTGGCTTCCAATACGCTGTTGGTGTCCAACGGCGGAAGTATTCAAGAGGCTTATAGGCCCTGGACCTCCCGCCCTCATCATCGAACATGTCATCCTCGGCACGTTCGCATGCGGCGTAGCCTGCTTCAGGCTAAACTTCTATTGCATGGCAAGAGCAATCGCAGCTTCAAGAGTACTTGGGTACTCTCGGAAGAGATAAGTCTTAACCGACCTATCCTTTAAGCCCTTCATGAACGTGACGACCTTTGTCGCCTCGTCGATCGGATTGGTCACGATGTTCGAGACCAAGTACCGCGCACGCTGGGCGTAAGCATGAACGTCATGATTACCTTGCTGCAGGTCAAGAAACACTGCTCACGACCGGAACTCCGTCTGAGGGGGGCTCAAACGCTTGTCTGAGCTCCTCCTTAAATATCTCATACGTCCTAGAGCACGTATGATCTGTGAGCCGGCGGCCATACGCCCAGCTCCTCGGTCGTCCGCCAAGACATGACATGGCGAACACAACCTTTGAGCCCCGTATGGTATTGTAAAAACCAACTAGTTTGTATCGTGATTTGTGCCGCTTAATTGTTAAATAAAAATTCAACAAATATAAACTGGAGTGTAAAAAAGAGTTGGTAACAGGTATTAAGGGTAATGACCTACATGATCCGCCACCGCTGGAGGGGTCACCCTTTCAACTGAAAGGAGAAACGCTAAGTCTATGGGTTTATTTCATGTAAATGCGCAGGCGTGAGCGATCCACCACCCTCCTGTTTTGGTAATGCTTCGGGTCATGTGTATAAGTAATGCTTCGGGTCATGTGTATACTTCGAAATAATAAAAAAGGTAATGTAGTGTAAAAATTGGAGGTACCCTGAGTCTCGAATTACATCGGAATGCTCATGGGCAGGGCTGAGACGGCCACCGGTGAGGTGATTGGCTGTCGTTAGCTATGATACATAGTTAATTGACCATGTTCCTTTTGTAATAAAAAAATATTATTATTGAAAGCCTGCTCGTGGGTAAAACTAAAGGGTCAAAAGTATTAATCTGATTTGATATGATAGAGAGCTGTATGAACGTCTAAAGATTGCTCAGTAGCTAACGGATTAACCCTTTTTAAGTAGCTAAAGGGTTCAAAGGGATTGCTCAGTAGCTACTGAGCAATCTTGGTAGGCTTACACATCTCTCTATCATATGGAATCCGATAACCGTATTTAAAAAATTGAATCTTTATCGGCCAGTGATAATCGGGCCTTAAATCGATACGTCCCTCTACAATTATGTGAAGCCAGTCTCTAAACTGAGAGCGGTGTTAAAAAGATGAAGTCTGCTTGCTATGATGTATGCTGCTGGTGCGGATCGACGCCCTGTGATAAGTAACAATACAGTGAGGAGGTCTGACAGGCTGGTGGCCGCTTGCAGCAGAAGCTGCCACGACGCAAGCATCGCAGCAAGGTGCTGCGCCTGACGCTTGGCAGACATTATCGCCACATGAAAAACGACAGCTTGAGAGGCTGCGTTTCACAGTGTGTAGCCAAGAAGCTGGAGGAATACTGACCTGATACTCGTTGTGACTCACGAACAATGGTAAAGATGACATATATTGAGTTATTGTCCCGGTAACCGAAGTTGATTAACTTGTGTAATTGTTTCGCTCTTTTCTTCCTCGATCAGGTGACAGGCTCGTCTGTGGAGGACCGTCAAAGCGCTTTCAACGCACTCCGGATCTGAGGTGAGCCTTCAAGACATCTCTGTTATGGAAAGCTGTAAAGCGCTCGACATGGAAACCTACTCACACTTTGTGCACCCGTATCGTGCCATCTGCTTTGTGTTGCCATTGCTGAAGAGATGACACAACCGTTTGCCGCTGCTGTTCTGTGTAGAGTTTGGTGCTATTATACAAATTGAAGACCTAACACCCACTATATCCTTCATCGTCGCTCGAGCTCGCTTTTTTTTGCTATAAGTTTCGCCTGCGTTTGTTTTGTTTTTCTGTGCTTGTGAGTGTATCAGCAATTCTTCTCTTGAATTCTCGCAGCGTGACACCTTTTGCCGTCTCAGGTCTAGCTGTCTTTAATAGTATATGTGCATTTATCAAGGCAATATCCATTAGTCACGTGAGCATCGTCATACCTAGACGCTTTTCGCGGCAGCATATAGGATTGGTACTGCGTAACTGGTCTACACGGTCGATAGCAACTATATGCAGTTACAATTGTTGGAGTCATAAACACTTGGCTGTGTATAATTCAATCGTCTGTTCATCGCTGAATATGATACCTCCCGTGGCAATAGTACACAGCGTCTGGTGATGTTGATGGCAGCCTGAGTGCAGGTGGCGTTGCTTCCAAGTCTTTGTATAAACTTCAGCAACTGTGCAATATTTATCGACGAGGTATCTAGCTTTTTCGGTTTGCTGAACTTTTGGCTGAATCTACGTGCGTGCTGTTTTTCTTACGCGGCGCTGAGCAATCTGGCATGTTTTCCTCGTTGCTTCCCATTATGGCTCAGGACTGACAGCCCCAATCAGCTCCCATCTACCCCGCGCTCCAGCATCAACGCGCTGGATGGATGGTTCAACTGCCACTTTATTCCATTTGCACACGAAGTTGATACGGACCGTCCCTAGCAAATGCATCTTGTCATCCGTAAATCTGAAATGTGCTTCGGCAAATGTATGTATGTTATATAAAATATCAGACACGATAGGGCGGTGGCCCGAATGTGAACACAGTGCTTGGGGCTGGCGGGCCGCCATTGCAATCCAGAGAGCCGTAGAGGAATCCTTCTCTATAGATTTATCATCGGCACACATGGTATTGTATAGTGGCGTCCGCAACGCCGGAAATAGGTTTGTGCATCGCTCGGTAGGGGTAGATGGAAGTCGATTGCCCGGTGAGCTATCCCAGAGTGAATGAACGTATAGTTAGCTCCATCCGACTACAGCATAGAACCGTACTCCATATTTATCAGGTTTAGAAGGCGTAATTGTTCGCGCTCGTGTTCGCGCCTTCGTTCGGACTGCCATTTGATTGATACTGCTCACACCAAGACAGAGGCTGGCCAGCACAACAAATGTATGAGCACCACAATAACTAGAGGTTAGCACAACGAGACAATGATTAGCACCACAAACGATGGTCCTGTACACTAAAACATGGGATAGCACATCACAAAATATTTGGACACATTAAATTCTATGGTAGACACCTGTTTGCAGCGGGCGATTATATCTCACTTTAGGGTTCTCTCGAAAGCACCCACATTCTCCAGACCCCACCTCTCTTCACCATGCCCTCCCCACGCGCCTGGCAACTGATCTGTAGTGAACTCTCCGAAGGAGATGCCGATCTTTTGTTGCTTAGCATGAAAGCCTTCATGACTAACAAAAGTCAACTCATGCCGTGTACTGTGTGTGCATCTGCAACCCCTCATTCGATGAGATACAAGATTTTACGCTGTGCCTGCAAGCAGTGCAAGGCGGTAGCTCCGCTCTCTAAGTGCCCGTGGGGTGCCAAGATGCTGGTCTGCCAAGAAGCCAAGTCCGTATACATGAGTGAGCTTGGTAAGCACTTCTCGGCCGCTATTCCAAGCAGGAAACCTTCGATTACGAGAGTCCAGCGGCTATTCATTCACGCCATGACTCGTGCAAATTTGACGCCTTCCCGTATTCTACATGCAATGACCCGAAAATTTGAACGGAGCCTCGAAAATTTACCAGTACTGCGGAAGGAGCAAAACTGCGTGAGCCACTTTCGCAGAACAAAAATCGGTGGTAACGATCGCGTCGGCGGCGTTGCTGCCCACGTTGCTGCTGCATCATTTACAGGACGCGAAGGAGAGCATGACGCGTTCTTATTCACGCGAGACAGCGATGCCAGTGGCAAGTGCGCTGTCGGCGACGGATCAGACGCACGCCCATTTGTTGTTGGAGTCACAACGAAGGCTCTCTTGCGATCGGCCAAACGTGATCCGTCGTCGGTTATTCTACATGTGGATGCCACGTTCCAGCTTGGCCAAGTCAGCTACCCGGTCATCGTCTGCGGACTCTCGGATGGCTCCCGAACTTTTCACTTGTTGGCTCTCTTCTTTACTTCGCAGTTGGAAGAGCGCCATTTTGTCGACGCCTTCGCTGCTCTGCGTACGGTACACGCGCAGGTGACAGGCGAGCGAATGAATGTGCAATATGTAATGGCGGACGCTGACCGTGCTCATTCAACGCTGTTCAAAGTGTGTTTGGTATCGACTGCACGTTCACGTACCTCATGTGATTTTACCATGTCATTGCCAAAGGACGACTGGCTCTAAAAAAAGGGCGCGTGCGCTACATGGGGATGTGGTGGCTATGCTGTATACTGGTATCTATGATCTTCACTTTTCGCTCACGAAGGAAGGTTGTACGGTGCGGAAGGAGCGGATGCTGTTTGAGTGCAGCAAGCATCGTGAGCTGGACCATTTCAGGGCATATATGAACAAGCAATGGTTTAAGGCAAACTATAGTGGGTGGCAATGTTACCTTACACCTTCTGGGTTCGCGACTACTAATAATCCTTGCGAGACGTTTAACCGCGCGTTCAAGCGCGACTATACTCAGAAACGAAAGCTGAAACTAGTGCTGCTGCTGCAGCAGATGCGAAACTACTGCAGTCATCGGTCTATGGCCACTATGGAGGTTTTACAAGAGCGTTCGCTCGACAAGTGCCTCCAAGCTTGCGCCACATCTCTTCGAACGGAAGGTTTTTTTTCGTGAGCATGTCCACGAGCGAGGAAGCATCGACTTCATGCTGGACGCCTACAGCTTCGACATCGTACGGGCTGTTGAAGTGCAACCACCGCGCTTCTACATTCCAGCCCGAGGCCGCTCGGAGGAAGCTCTTGATGTGGCCGCTAGATTTTCGGTCAACTATGCTCGGATTGAAATAGATGAGCAACCAGGTACGGGGTGGCCGGTTAATATCAAGACGGTCTATTGTCCCTGTCGATACCACGCTAAAATGGACTCCTGTGTTCATAGGCTTTTCGCCCTGCGCGTACGTAACTATCTGGATGGAACGGGCGAGCGGCTCATGTTTAACCGTTCCCGCAAGCGCGGCGATGAAGATGTGAGCAACAAGCGTGGTCCTGGATGACCAATCAATGCTGGACATGCACTACAGAAAGAGTAAACACGTAGAAGGCAGCAACATGTTTTATTAATACATCGCCTCAGCTTCACTTTAATTGTATTACCTTCCTTCTGTATGGTAAACGCTTTGAGCCGACTGATAACAGCCATACTAGCCCCCAAGCTCAGCAGCCTTCTTGAAACGCATGAGCTGTTTAGTCGCAAATAGAATACAGATTCTGAAAATATTTTTTGTGATTGAGATGTGTGAAAACGTTTGACTTCATTCTTATTTTTTGAAAAGTGACCGAGCTAAAAATGGGCACTCAGTTACTGGATCATTTTTTTAAAATTTCTTCACTGTCCAATTTGGAGCTAGAAGATGCCATCACTTAGTCGTAAACGTTTTACAGGAGCAGTTAGACCTTTTATTAAACAACATTCCCTCGTGTAAAATTATCGGACGAAGCCATTCGACCCCTGAGACTCGAGCTTCCCCAAGCTGAATCAAACTCCAGCGAGCTGACAAGTCTACTGTCCAAAGCCTCCTCCAAGGTGGAAGGCGCCGCATCGAAAGCTGCCACGTCAGAGCATGGTCAGGCCTACCGCGCGAGTCGAGTGACGCAGCTGAGGAGAAAGCAGCGCTGATGGGAGCAGAAAATGCACTCGAGGAAGAGCATTTAGACGCAGACTCAACGGCCGAACAAAAAGAGCCGACACCCTCGAGTAATGACACCGCCAACAGCGACCACAGCGACAGCGACGTTATCTGGATCCCACCGCCGCGCGTAGGCGAGGCGAGGTTGACGCTGCGTGAAGCTCTTGGGGGCGGCGATAGCAGCAGTAGCAACGAAGAGATGGAGCCGACCGGGGCCTTGGCAGCTGGGAACTACTATGTTCGCAGCATCACCAACTCCTACATCAGGGATGGACGGCGCGTGTATGTAACAAACTGGGAAGCAACCAAGGAGCCTGCGGACAACCTTCCTCCTGGAATGGTCGCGTCCTTCAATCGCCGTCGCAGAGCTCAGGTTCGTCAAGCCTTCATAGAAGACGAAGCTGGTCACACCAGCGAGCGCCGTCGTTCTTCCGCTGAGGCTCCAAGCTCATGTCGTCGGCCGCTTCGCCGTCTCCGCGGGTATGCCGATGCTTAGCACAGACAAGAAGAGCTCATAAGAACAAGATCAATTGCATATATTATCATGCCATCAAGCCTTCGTAACACCTTGCTACCCACGACATTACACAGCAAGGATCACGCTGTATAACAGCACACCAAGCTTACATGGTCCAGCGACAAGGTATCGAGGAGCAAACAGCAAAGTTCCACTAGAAACAGCACACTAAGCTTCCTTTGCCCCTCTTCAGCTGCTAACGCATCCCTTCAGCCCACAAAATCACTGGAAGAATCCATATTTCGTTAGTCAACATCGTAACCCCAAAACGTACGGCG